CTTGCAAACTATTTCTTTCTACTGTTCTTTTCCGTCTTGTAGATATCTTAGGTTCTAAGGTTTGTAATGCAAGCCTTTCAACTATAAGCCCAGCTCCCAGTTACTCGCCTAGTAGAACTGTACCAATTGTGGGACACTCAAGGTAAGCTTAGATGCTTAAATTTGCCCACTTTGTCTATGTGGCACACATTCTGATTTAGGCTGCAAATAGAACTGTGATGAATAACTGGGTTGTTTATTTTTCGCTACTACTAGACGGTTACAATACAAGAGTGCGAAAAAAATGTCGTTTTAAGCCATGCAGCGCAACGGAACAAAACCAAAATAATGAACTTCAGACAAGGAGAAGCTTTGCAGCCACCGATAAGCCTAAGTCATGAGGGGATTACTGTTATTATTTCTATAGCGATGGAGAATTTGTCCCCTTAAAAATAGAAGCACAAAGGAAGGAAGTTGAGGAGTCGAAAATGATGCCGCCGTTGTCACCGAAGGCCTACCTGCCGGCTGCGCTTTCGAATTGGGACTTTTCAAAGAAGGAGTGGTCCAATGGCGAAGCTGCCGGGGATGAGGGGGTGCATTCTGGCTCGTCTGGGGACAAAATTCCAAGTCGCCGGGGCTTTGGTTACGAGGAAAGGATAGGCTGGTCACACAGTGAGTGTTTTGTTTAGTAAGAGATTTTGTAACCGCCTTGCCACGCCGCTCAGTTTTCAAATCAATAAGACTACTGCGCTGAGTCAAGTCGAAAACTTCTGAGCAAATAAAAAACTACGCCTACTAAAATGCACTGAGTAGGCATGTGGTTAGGAAACTAACGCACTATCGAAGTGAAGCGATCGCTAATCCTCAAACAATAACCAAGACCAAAATCAACAGTACGAGAAAGCAGAATAAGGCAAGGGTGACGATATGTAAGATATTAAAGAAAATGGGTACAACCTGAATAACGTATCCTCGGGGCTAAAAAATTCCAGCGGTGTTGTCAGTGCATTTAAAGTGCAGGGACAATCAAGGAAAATGGTGCGAGAATGATAAAGGTCACAAATATTCAGAGACCACCACAGGCATATAAGCGCATAGTAAAATAAGACCGATATCAGTGAAACTTCCGCCAATAAGGGCTATAAGGCTTGGCTAGTTAGGCAGCTCTCATAATTACATTGGTCTGCTTCCGCAAGCCTAATCTATTCTCAGACTCGAATCATATGTCTTTTTTCTATTTTTTTTGAAGAAAGACCCTCAAAGACGGCAAGAACAGCAACATCCTCATCATCAGCATCGGCCGTTGACGAAGGTGAATTAGATGAAGGCAGATCAAGAAATGTCCCCCTTTGGAGGCGCTTAAAGTTCGCCAGAGCTTTTTTCTTCGGTTGTTTTGGAGACAAATGATCTAGTGTCACTTGAAGTCTACCAGGTTCAAACAAAACGAAGGAAGCAGTTGTGAAAGTTGGTGGATAATGGCACTAAAGAAGTCATTACTAGGAATGCAAATTGTAAGAAAGTAAGCCTATAGGTAACTCGTAGGCCTTTTCCACAATAAATAGCTTAAATTTGAAGCAGACAGCTCATCAGCTGCTACTTGTCTCTGCACGCTTTATTCAATGCAATGGGCAGTCCACTAGGGCCCACATTTGCGGATGCTTTTATGGGTCATCTAGAAGAAAAGGCATCATCAAGACTTAACAAGACAAACTAATATAGGAGATATGTGGATGATATTTTCACAATTGTTGATTAAAAGGAAGACGCCGATGACCTCCTCAATTTTATGAATACTCTGCATCCTAAAATTAAATTTAAAATGGAAACAGAGCAGCATAACAAGCTCTCCTTCTTAGACGTCCTCATGTTTAGAGAGAATGATGGTTCCATAGGGCGCTAGGTTTTCCACAAAAAGACCTGGAAGGGGCAATACCTACACTTCATGAATTTTGTGCCAATTCAGTGGAAGCGTAATCTGGTACATACCCTCTTTCAACGA